ATCACCATGTAATTACAAGGTAATTAAAAATGGTAATTAAATGTAATTACTACCTTATCACCATGTAATTACAAGGTAATTAAAAATGGTAATTAAATGTAATTACTACCTTATCACCATGTAATTACAAGGTAATTAAAAATGGTAATTAAATGTAATTACTACCTTATCACCATGTAATTACAAGGTAATTAAAAATGGTAATTAAATGTAATTACTACCTTATCACCATGTAATTACAAGGTAATAAAATGGTAATTAAATGTAATTACTACCTTAATACCACGTAATTATGTGGTAATTAGGGTACAATTTTACTATGCAATTAATTGTCTGCAGTAATGTAGCACTTACCTGGTAACGTATTACAATTCACAATGTAACACCTAAATAAGTAGTAGGTAATTTGGACAGTTTTAAAGTTATATTTTATTGCAATTAACCACTAACTCCAAAATTTAGTTGCATTCTTTTGGTTATAAATGTAGTGTTGAGTTACTATTGAATAGTAATTTGATTGTAGTTACCCAATGAAGGTACTTTTACTAACAGTAGTTTTGTACCCTAATTACCACGTAATTACATGGTAATAAAGTAGTATTTACATTTAATTACTTTTTATTTCCTTGTAATTACATAGTAATAAGGGTATCGTAAAAGAAAGCATTACCAAGTACTTTTACACACCCACTCCAAGAAACAAAGTGTTGAATTATWTTAGCTCGGTTAGTGGAACCAGTTAACATAACTTGTTTAGATAAAATCAACACTTCATTTTTTAGAGTGCATAAAAAACTCCTTTCATGTTGGGTTCTGGTCATAATTAAATTTGTAACAAGGTGGTAAATTTTAAAGTAAAGAAGTAAAAGTATGTTTTGAATGTAAAAGTAAAAGAAGACAATTTAAAAAACATACTTAGTAAAATTACAAATCCTCAAAAAAATGACTTTGTGTAACAAAGTAAATGTAATTTGTCACTATAGGCCTCTAATTAAATGTGTGTTGTCTAACAGTTCTCTTTAAAAAAAACACCATCAGCGACTGAAGTGGGTTTTACCAAGCAAGGTAATTATCTAATAATTTTATCTTTAGGGCACCGCCCAAACCACTGAAAGTCTCTCTGTCTTTCACAACAAAACAKTTACAATCCCTGAAAAATGAGCCAAGATTCCAATGTGTTTCCTAATTAAAAACAGCTGACGTTTGTCTTATTAATTATTAAAAACCAATKAATAATTGTGTCAAACTGAACATGATGATGAGGAGGAGGATTTAGGCTGTTTATTATTCAAAAATGCTTTTTAAATAAATCTAAGTGATCAGGCTGGTGTCAAATTTTGATTTTATACAYTTAAATTAAAATTATTGCAAAAACAATCTGCAAATCTGCTCTTTCTGAGTCAGTGCATTTGATTTAGCAACAGTTTTCTTACCTTTTTCTTCTCTTTCAGGTCATACAAGGCTATGGTGGCAAAAATTGGCTCGATGTCAATTTCAAACCTGAAAAAAAAGGAGTAATATATAGTTCAGTTGTAGCAAAGAGCAGAACTCTGTTTTTACAATCCCTAACCTCTAAGAACAACTCTATTCCTGTGAGTTGCTGTGTTTTTTTTATGATGGGAAGAAACTAAACCATATTTAATGTRGTGTTGAACTGAACTGGATCCGAGGCGATGTTGCCAAACCACGGCAAGCCAAGGAATCAGTTCAACACAAACATTTGGCAGTCGAGTTGCACAGGGACAGACGAGCGTGTAAACAATAAAACTGTTTAACGCTAAGGAGACAAAATGACAAAGAACGATGGAGGAATACAGAATTTGAGAGAGAATAAAGAAGCACTCCTCCGTCCTTACAACACAGCTCTGTTCTTCACTAAAACATGCTAGAAAAAACATTTTAGACTTGTTCAGATGTGAAAAGCAGCACTGTTCCATATGCTAAATGCACCACAGAAGATCCRTCTTAACAAATAAGAGGGTGTTTGAAAAATTAAAGTTTTACACAAGCAACTTTTGTCTCCATGTCCGTCTTGTACAATAAACAAAAAGCYGCAGAACCGACAGAACTGTTCTCCCTCCCTCACACGATGAAAATGGACGACATACTTTATGGCCTGGCATCGGATCAGGATGCGTTCTCCAGTGTGTTCTTTGGGACAGTCGGGAATGGGACGGATTTCCACTGCTTCGTCCTGGAGCACAGCGACAAAACACAGACGATGTAYTCAAAAGAAAGGAAATGAAAACTRAGAAGTTATGTTTTAACAAGGATTATATGTGCTGAATGTTTAAACTRAACCTGACATGCAGGTTAAATGTGGGTACA